TCCTACTTCTCAGTATTAATAGCTCAAGTATACTACTATTGCAGACTTCTTTCTTGAAAAAAGAAGAATTATTCTAAATAGTGGAAGTGTATACTAAATTTTGGGTAGTATATATTTAAAAAATATATTTTAGTTGTTATAATTTAACATAACTATTTATTATATGGTGCAGATAAATAAATATTGATTATCTGTAATTGGCAAAGTTCTATTTTATTTACTATTTAGTTTGTTTACTATTAATATTGGCTATAAGTACGTGTGCTTGGTTGTATAGTTATTCCCAGCCTCCTATAGTCAGTCAAAAAGTAACTAACTTCTCAAAAAAATAATTACTAAATTCACTAGACAGTTCGGACTGGGAATAGCGAACCGAGTATAACAACTGATCAAAATGACATTGTTGACATGTTAGGACGGATGTTGTGTCAGAGCAGTCAGTGTAACTTACGGTAGTTGTCTAAAATTGACAGATGTCAGCCTTATTTAAAATTGAAAAAGTTAAAATTATAATAATGTAACAGTATCAACCATCAATATTGTAATCTGTATTGTAAATTAATCAAATAGCTATATTTGAAACATTGAAAATTGGTTTTTTAAAAATTAATGTAGGTCAACTGGAATTTATGAAATTTTGTAGGATGGATAGGCAACCAACTATACATGTGTAAGGATCTATTTATTAGCTAAAGATTTTGTCAAAAGCTAAAGATTTTGTTAAAAGGCCCTGTATGTTGTGAGACCTTTGGTACCTAGAAAATGGTAAAAAAGCACATGTGGGAAGATAAGTCCTAAAAGATTTATTATTGAGTATTGATGTAGTAGGTGGAGGACCTCCACTGGAGGTGTGTTTAGATATGTTGTTGAGCTGAAATGTAAATATGATAAGAATGTGATCATAATGTGGTGTTCGTGTAGTACTCAACTTAAAACTTAAGTGTGGAAGGCCCTCTATGCCAAAAAACTACATTTGGTACCTAGTAAAGATAAAAAAAGAAATTTTTAAGTTATAAAACCGTGAACATGAATTACTGGTTATGTGTGTAAAGTAAATATGGTAGGTTGTTTATGTGTGTGGGCAAGTATGCCAGACTGAAAGAAAATTGATGGCTGAAAGATGGTTAGGTGTGATATTGTTCCTACATTGCTCAAGTTATAACTCAAGAAAACAAAAGGCCCTATATGTTAAAAGGAGCATTTGGTGCCTAAGAAATATAAAAGTAAAAAGGGATGAGTTATAAGTTAGAGTGTAGGTAGGTGAAAAGTTAATAGGCTTATGGAGTGTATTGTGACAATATGTGGAAATGTAAAAGTAGTTGTGTTTAAGGTGGATCTGTCAAGTTTACTAAAGATGTGTGATGTTTAAATGTTATTGTAAAGTTGAAGGGGAAACTACAAAAGACTGAAGACCCCAGAGCCGCCATGTTACATATCCAACGGTAACTTAACCATCACAAATTATAAATACTAATAATGTAAAACAACTTCAAATTTTAAACATTTAAAGGGTTTTTACCCATATATTTTGGTGGCTACTAGCATGTACAACCGTAAGTATTGACCACATTTTGCTCTAACCTTTGTCAACATTTTCATTTAACGTTCTTTTTAATTAAAGTGGTTATATACTTTCAGGTTTGCACTGATGATGGATTGTTTAATCCGAAAACGTTTTGCAATGTGTTTGTGATAGCCCGTTTGGGCCATTTTTATATACCTTTTATAAAGGATTTTAACCAAAATTTTTTTGTGATATATGGTACCTATACAGCCAGCTACAGGAACTTAGTTTCCTCGTGGAATTTTAAATTTTAAGAAATACAAGCAATGGTTTCCTTTAACACTTTGTATAATGAAGTTTGAATGTGATGAGTTTGGTATGGTTGTACTGAGAAAAATATGGACTTTGAATTTTTTAGATAAAAATATGCGATTTCTATTTAAAAAACTTATCGATGACGTCACATCTGCTAAGGTAGTAGGGATAACATTTTTTTTCCAAAAAGGTTAAAAAATAACAATAATAATCGACCTGTCCGAACTTTAACTCTGAAAATAATTAAGCCATGAGATAATAGATAATATAAACCATTTCTACACTTTATAAATGAATATATATATATATATATATATATATATATATATATATATATATATTATATATATATATATATATATATATATATACATACATATACAGGGTGGTGAATCGTCAAACGGGCCATAGGAAACTCAATGGGAAATTCTGAATTGTTGAATTCCTGCTTTCCTAATTATTTTACACCAAAAGTCATGGGAAACTATTTGTAGAGGACTCAAATATGTATCGAAAACAACTGTTAAAATTATTCTACGACTTAAACGTATTCCAAACTTTTGCTAAAATATAATACATTTTTCTGTGAAAAAATGTGTATTACGTGTTGCGTTTTGTCATATTATTGTTTCTGATATTTGACAATATTTAAATCAATTATATTACATTTATCTATGATTTAAATGGCCAAAATTTTGTGATTTATTGTTAAAAAAAATTAAGTTGATTAAAAAATGTACTCAATTGAGAAGAAAAAATCAATAACAAAAATGTTTTATTATAACATTTGTTACAGTTTTATGTTTAGAAATTATCATATATTATTATTAGGAATAAAGATCACAGTAACAGTATATTGGAATTCATTGAATTGTTGTATAACTTATTTTAACATGGAATTAAATTTTAGTGAATTAGAATATCTTACGTTAAATAAAGATCCGGTAGTGGCAGGAAAAGGTTCGCGCTATTGCCTGAATACAACATTACGCGATTTTTCGTCAACTGAGTACATTTCATTATATTGATCGATTTGTAAACACTATAATTTATTGTTCACAAATTAATAATGTTCATTAGTAGTAGTATTTAGTAAAATTCATTGTTTATAATTTAATCATAAAATAAAAAAATTGACAATTCAAATTGTCAAACATCTGACATAAATATGATAAAACACAAACGTCCTAAATATATTCTTGCATTACGTGTGGCCTAACTTTTAGGGGTGGCCTGAAAAATGTATTATATTTTTGCAAAATTTTTAAGTACATTTGAGTCGTAGAATGGTTTTAATATTTGTTTTTAATTCAGATTTTAGTCCTCTACAAATAGTTTTTTATGACTTTTGATCTAAAATAATTAGGGAAGCAGCAATTCAACAATTTAAAATTTCTCATTGAGTTTCCTATGGTCCGTTTGACGATTCACCACCCGGTATATATATATATATATATATATATATATATATATATATATATATATATATATTATATATATATATATATATATATATAATATAAAATTAATGTTTCTTGGGTTTAGGTTCAATAAAGATATGTTACATGTGGAACTAGATTTTATTTTCCATTGCAATCAATCAACGTTTCGGCAGGAAACCCTTGCCTTTGTCAAGATTCTAAAATGTGCATATATATAAGGACAAACAGATATTTTAAAATATGTATATAATATATATGACTTACCAAAACGTAAAACGTGACACAGACATTAACGAACTGACATATAAAAGTTGATATCTGATATCTCATTGTTTACTGTCATTAGTATATAATTATTTTTATACGAGCGTATCGTTGATGTTTTCGAAAAAGGTAAGGTTGAGATATGTTATGACTTTAAGAGCTTTTTATGATGTTATATTATTATTGTTTAAATCAGATTGAAATATATTTTATTTAGGTTTTGTGTATCTTTTTTGTCATTTATTGCGTTGGTGTTTCTTTTTATTTCTATTGATTCGTATATCTCCCTCTTCTTTTTGTTTTTTTCTGTTTTTAAAATTCTGATGTTTTCAAAATCAAATTTATGCTTCTTCCCGCTTTCATGTTTTGTGAGCGCAGTGACGTTGTTCTTGTCGTATTTGTGAGAACGAATTCTGGATTGAAGCAGTTGACTGGTTTGACCGATATAGACACCTTCACAGTTTGTACATGGTATCTCGTAAACAACATGTGATTTTTTAAGTTTTGGAGTTTGTGTTTTTAGTTTTGTGAAATATTTATTTAAGAGATTGTTGCCTTTGTGGGCCATTGTTATGTTATGTTTGGCTAAAAGATCGGTCAAACCAGTCAACTGCTTCAATCCAAATTCGTTCTCACAAATACGACAAGAACAACGTCACTGCGCTCACAAAACATGAAAGCGGGAAGAAGCATAAATTTGATTTTGAAAACATCAGAATTTTAAAAACAGAAAAAAACAAAAAGAAGAGGGAGATATACGAATCAATAGAAATAAAAAGAAACACCAACGCAATAAATGACAAAAAAGATACACAAAACCTAAATAAAATATATTTCAATCTGATTTAAACAATAATAATATAACATCATAAAAAGCTCTTAAAGTCATAACATATCTCCACCTTACCTTTTTCGAAAACATCAACGATACGCTCATATAAAAATAATTATATACTAATGACAGTAAACAATGAGATATCAGATATCAACTTTTATATGTCAGTTCGTTAATGTCTGTGTCACGTTTTACGTTTTGGTAAGTCATATATATATATATATATATATATATTATATATATATATATATACATATTTTAAAATATCTGTTTGTCCTTATATATATACACATTTTAGAATCTTGACAAAGGCAAGGGTTTCCTGCCGAAACGTTGATTGATTGCAATGGAAAATAAAATCTAGTTCCACATGTAACATATCTTTATTGAACCTAAACCCAAGAAACATTAATTTTATATTAAATATAATACGGTTCAATAAACTCAAAACTACTATATATATATATATATATATATATATATATATATATATATATATATATATACTTATATTAAAAATAAATGTAAGATTTCATATAAAGCAAGAACTCTTGCGGATCATATTGACCCTTTGTCAATAATCTTGAAAGATAAGATATTAGATATATTGAAAGTTTAAGAAAGAAACGTAAAAACTCACCGTATAGGAATATAGAGCGGTGCACTTGAGCAGCGGCGCTGAAGGGGCAGCTTCCTGCCTGACTAACCCTTCGCCCTCTTCAGCGTTTTCCTCGGTGCCCCAATCCACCTGAGTAGGATCGTCCCATCCGGCAGTCAGCTGTTCTATTCTTTGTCGTTCTTGCTCTAACATGGCTGTAGAAAAAGAAGGGATAGTTAGAGACGACGTCGACACACTTTCTGAGGGATGTTTTAATATGTGCTATTAAGTCGACCGGAATACAGGGTCATTCACTTCTAGAATTCGATGAATATTTTATTGAAATTGCAGGAAGACAGGACTTTGATAGAACGCATGATATAAAAGTCTTAATAGTATCATAGGTTAATATATTTTAATACACAGGAAGAACGAGAAAATTTAAAAATATTAAGAGCTAAAAGCACTAGTTAACATAGCGATTGTTATAGTATAGTTTTGAAATTGTAGACATTAAATTCCAAGACCACCCGCGGACCAACAGGTGGGTTAGATAGTACTCCTAAGCCGTAGAGAAGGCAACTTATCTAAGAGAAGGATACTCTGATTTAAAACCCTGGTCCTCCAAGTTGGGGGTTGAGGCATCGGGCCAACTCCTCGATACTCGGAAAAAATTATCAAAGGTTAAAAATTTCAGCAAAAAGCCTTGGAATTCGGACGGATTAAACTATAAACGAAATTCGCAAAGAAAATGGACTATGAATTTGGGTGCATGGAACATACAAGGAATAAGGACAAAACAGGAGGAGGTCTTCCGTGAAGTGAGTAAAATGAAACTAGATATCTGTGTATTAACTGAAGTAAAGAAAAAGGAAGAGGAAATGAAAAGATAAGCAAATACCTGCATTTCGATAGTGGCGTAGAAAAGAGCGAACGAGCTAAAAGGGGAGCGTCTATAGCAATACATCAGAAACTGAAAAAATGTATTAAATCATGGCAAAACATAGATGAAAGAATTATCCTCATGGAAATTAAGAAAAATGGTCATGAAATAGTGGTAATTTTAACATATACACCGACGGATGACTCAAGGGTTGACAGCAAAGAAGAGTACTTTAACAAGTTAACAACCGTTCTAGCCACAATTAATAAGAAGAAAGAAATTTGGATCTTAGGTGATCTTAATGCAAGAACTGGAAAGAGCTTCAACATTGAAATAGTAGGTAGATATGCAGAAGACATTCTGAACGACAATGGTCAAAGATTAATAGATTTTTGCGAGGCACATTCTTTGAAAATATTAAATGGTTTCTTGCCCCATAAGAATATACACAAATTTACATGGACGCAGCCTACCAGGAATTTAAAATCAATAATTGACTATTTCATTCAGCGCAGCGTAAAGATTCTAAACTAAAAAACGAAAGACGTGAGGGTGTTTAGAGCGCCAGAATGTGGAAGTGACTACCATGTGATTATTGCAAAAGTAATGGTGACATTTAAGAGAGAACAATCAAGTCACAAAAATGATGAAGTAACAGACATAGGAACAACCATAGAAAACATAAATATAACCTGGAAAGCTTTAAACAAGATTGGACAAAGTTCTTATATAAAATTAGAATAGCTCAAAAAATAAAAAATATAGAAACTAAGGACTTAGACCCTGAAAGTCTGTATGAGTTAATTAAAAAATATATTCACGAAGCGGCAAATGAAGCGCTGGGAAAAGTTAAAAATCGGAAAAAAAGGAAAACCTGAATGGCTGTCAACGGAACTAGAAGAGAAAGTTCTCAAGAAAAAACAAGCATATCACATATGGCTTCAATCCAAAGATCCTCAAGACAGAGAAATATACGCCAAATGGAATAGAGAAGGTAAAAAAGAAGTGGATAAGGCAAAAAATGTAAACTGGGAGGCTAAGTGTGATGAACTGGACAGATTGATGGGTCGAACAAAAGTGGCACAAGCTTGGAAAACATTAAAGCAGTTTAGGAAAAAATGAGAAAAATGAAGAGAACATTCCTCTCATAAAATTTAATGAATGGGAAGAATATTATACGAAACTGCTGAAAGATTATAGAGGAGAGTACAGATGGGACAAGATAAGGGAATTAATAGTTAACAGAGACGAAAGACAGAAATTCCTATAATAACATTATCTGAATTGACGGAAACCTTGAAAGAGGTTAAAAACGGAAAAGCCGCAAGCTTGGAGGCATTCCCATAGAGCTGGTTAAATATGGGCCGACTGCACTTTTAGAATCAATAGTAAACCTTTTTAATAAATGTATGTGTGGAGACCAGGAAATACCTAAAGATTGGAATAAATCTTATATAAGCTCCATATATAAGAGAGGGAATAAAAGAGACTGTTCCAATTATAGAGGTATTAGTGTGACGAGCTCTGTGGGCCGGTTGTACGGCAGAATATTAAAGAAGAGGGTTGAAAGACAGATACAAGATATTGAAGAACAAAGCGGCTTTCGTACCGGGAGATCCTGCCTTGATAATATATTCATCCTACGACAAATAATTGAAAAGCGTGTCGAAAGAAGTAGAGAAACCCATTTGGTATTTATAGACCTTGCGAAAGCATATGATAGATATTACCCATTAAAGAAAATGTTTGAGGTCCTCGAAAGGTCCGGATTGGATTCGACGTATATCCGAGCAATATATAAATTGTACGAAAATGCAGTTAGTTGTGTAAAAATTGGAACCAGAACTTCAAATGAATTTAAAGTCACTAAAGGCTTAAAGCAAGGATGCTGTCTGTCACCGACACTCTTTAAAATATACGTCCAAGAAGCATTAAGAAATTGGAGAAATAAATGTAGATTTATGGGCATCGAAGTGGGACAAGAAACTCTGTATACTTTGTTGTTTGCAGATGATCAGGTGGTGGTTGCAACCGATGAGGAAGATATAAATTATATGAATCGAAAATGATTTAAGGAATATGCCAAATGAGAGCTTACTGTAAACATAAGCAAAACAGAATATTTAAAAATTGGAGGAAATACCACAGATCTGAGGCTTGAAAACGCAGTCATAAATAAAAGGTTGCAACCAGTATAAATATCTAGGAAGCATCATATCAGCAGATGGCAGAGTTAAGATAGATGTACAAAACCGAATATCCCAAGGGAAAAAATGCATCCGAATACTGAATTCATTACTGTGGTCTAATAAAATATAGATTCATACCAAACTTCATGTATACAGTGCAATTGTAGAACCAATTATCACATATGGTGACGAATGTTGGACGATGACAAAGCATGAACTAGATAAAGTAGACGTTGTGGAAATGGATTATCTTAGAAGGTCATGTCATAAGGAAATACGAAACCGTACAGGAATTAGAGATACTCTTTCAGATAGAATACAAGGAAGGCAATTACAATGGTATGGTCACAAGATGAGAATGGAGGAGGAGCGGTGGCCAAAGAAAGCCTTAATGTATGTTCCGCAGTAAGAAGGAAAAGGGGAAGACCACCAAATTCCTGGAGAAGAGAAATTACAAAAACAATGCAATCTAGAGGCTTAGAAGAGGGAGATTGGAGAGATAGGAAAAGATGGAGGCTGAAATGCGGGAAGCGGCAATCGCCGTAGGACCCCCGTTATATGATGATGATGAAATTCCAAGAAATGGTGATGGCAGAATGAATCAATCAAGCCATTGATGAATTCAATGACTATCATGAAGAAATGGATGCCCAAAAATTTTAAGATTGGATTTTAAAGATTTTATTAAACCTTGAACTAAATCCTGTCGTTATGGACAATGCATCTTACCATAGTCGATAATTGAAGCCATTACCAACAACGACCAAGGGGAAAGCTGACATCATAAACTGGCTCTAAACAATTTTTCATTCGAATATAACATCAATATATAAAATATATTGTCGACGAAATGGCTCTTAAGAGAACGTAATTTTTCTTCGTCTCCCTCCTTATCAATGTGAGCTGAACTTTATCGAACTTATATAGGCTCAAATAAATTTTATAGAGACCTACAAAAAGAACTTGCTAATTTTATATGCGATAAACCGTTAAATTTTTAAGCTTAATAAAGCTTTTTCCATGTTGCAGATATCACATTCAGAAGTGAGACGATCGACTGCAGGAATGAGAAAAATTAGAAAATATGAAACATTTTTTACGAATGATGATGATTTAATACGTGTGACGAGGAGAATCCCAGATCATTCACGTTTAGAATATATTAAAGTTTTACGAAGATTAAGTGAAATTTCAGGCAGGAGATTCGCTTGCTGAGTGCTGAACTGGAGATCGGTTGTACGTGGTAGGGTAGAAATTTTCAGTTGCAAAAAGTAATATACGAAAAATCACAATATTTTGTATAAAACTCTTGGATTTGAAAATATTTGTTTTACCTGTTAAAAAATATAATTACAAAGTTCTCATTAATTTTAAATAAGAAAATAATTTTTTCTTTATATTTTCAAAAAATCAATCTAACAAAATTTAAATTTTTGTTGTACGATATATGTAATATAGGGTCTTTAATTCTTTTTCTTCTTGTAGTGTCTATCCGTTTTAAATGTTGGCGAATTAGAAAATCCTTCCCCTTATTGATCCTCGTTTTCCTTCTTCTTTTCATTGTAGAATTAATTGCAGCAATACATCTCTTTCGCTATTCCTCATGATGTGACCGAGGTTTTCGATTTTGACTGTTTTTATTGCGGTTAACAACTCTTTTTCTTTTGCATTCTTAATAAAACGTCCTGGTTAGTAACGTGGTCGGTATAGGATATCTTCAGGGTTCGACGACAAAGCCACATCTCGAAATCCTCAATTTTCTTGCAGGTAGTCTTTGAGAGTCCACGACTCAACTCCGTACAATAGTATAGGAATGATACAACATCGTAGTAACCTGATTTTTATGGGTACTGATAAATCATGGCATTTGAATAGCTTAGCCATTTTTTGAAATGCAGATCTTGTTTGCTCTATCTTTCTCTATCTAAGGTAGGTGTATATTTTTACTCTTTCTATTAGTTGACGATTCACACTAATTATACACAATTATATACACAATGTGGGTAGCAGATAGGTACTCTTCCACAATCTCAGTGGAGGATAGACTTACTTCAGGGATGTCTCAGGGAAATCATGTCCTAACCCCATTCCTACTCAATACCTACTATCCTACCAATTTCCCAAACCAACTCACCAACCCG